CCAGCTACTCAGGAGGCTGAGGCAGGAGAATCGCTTGAACCTGGGAGGCGGAGGTTGTGGTGAGCCGAGATGGCACCCCTGCACTCCAGCCTGGGCAGAAGAGTGAGACTCCATCCCCCCGAAAAAAAGACAATTCAAAATTCAAGTAAATGATAAGTTTAAAAGTACCCAAACTTGGTTTCAGGATTAATTCTAAAATTCATTTAATTGAATTTTTCTCTAATTGTACTCTTGAAAAAGAAGTAAGTGTAATATCTACTATTGAAATGGTGAGAAGAAAAGGAGGGAGGAGAAGAAATAACACTTTTTAAAAAAAGAGGTGGACACAGAAAACTTACAAATAGGCTGTTTATTTATTGTATGTGAAATTTACTTATAAACTTATAAATAGTGTATTTATAAGTTTTCTGTGTCCACCTTTTCAAGGAAAAGGAGTCCTGGGATTAGTAGATAAACTGGAAGAAGTAGGAATAAGGCAGTTGACCAAGAGACATTGAGTTCCAAACTGACCATTTTCTTTTTTTTTTTCTTTTTTTTTTTTTTTTTTGAGACTGAGTCTTGCTCTGTCGCCCAGGCTGGAGTGCAGTGGCCAGATCTCAGCTCACTGCAAGCTCCGCCTCCCGGGTTCATGCCATTCTCCTGCCTCAGCCTCCCGAGTAGCTGGGACTACAGGCGCCCGCCACCTCGCCTGGCTATTTTTTTTTGTAGTTTTTATTAGAGACGGGGTTTCACTGTGTTAGCCAGGATGGTCTCGATCTTCTGACCTCGTGATCCGCCCGTCTCGGCCTCCCAAAGTGCTGGGATTACAGGCTTGAGCCACCGCGCCCGGCCCCATTTTTCATTTGACTGCTGGGGGAGACAGTTTCAGGGGACCCTTGAGCAATGGCATGAGAGGCAAAATCTACCCTCGAAATAGACCATCCCTGTTATGGGTACAAATGAGATTACAGGCACCTGCCACCACACCCAGCTAATTTTTTGTGTGGTTTTTTTTTTTTCTGATCTTTCTCTTACCTCCCAGGCTGGAGTGCAATGGCGTAATCTCGGCTCACTGCCACCTCCGCCTCCAGGTTTGATTAGCATTGAAATTGGAAGAGAAGTTTGATTTTTTTAATTGGGAAGGTACTTTGAAATGTTGCTATCTTCTGAGGACTTAACATATTTTCTGCAGTAGTTCTTAAAGTTTAATGCTTAACTTAGTTTTAATAATCTTGTTTTCTTTGCTATTTTTATTATTTTTTGAGACAGAGTCTTGCTCTGGCTACCCAGGCTGGAGTGCAGTGGTACCATCTTGGCTCACTGCAACCTCTGCCTCTGGGGCTCAAAAATCTTCTCATAAGTCTCCCAAATACTTTTGAACCCATGCATACCACCATAGCTGGCTAATTTTTGTATTTTGTAGGGTGTAGTTTTGCCATGTTGCCAGACTGGTCTCGAACTCCTGGACTCAAGTCATCCACCTGCCTTGGCCTCCCAAAATGCTGAGATTACAGTCATGAGCCATTGTGCCCAGCCATAATCTTTTCTGTTTAATTCATGTATCCATTTATTTCTATGTATTTACGTGTTTACTTATTTCTCTTCATTTATTTGTATGAGTTTCCAAGAAGGCACATTAGACACTATACAAAATAGATATTTGTTTGAAGAGAATGCTACTTTGAGGTTTAATTCTGAGAATAAACACTACTACTTAATGCATATGGCAGTGAATGAGCAGACCGACTCAGCTACTCTTTTATTTTTTTTATTTCCAGTAGGTTTGGGGAGCAGGTGTTGTTTGGTTACATGGGTAAGTTTTTCAGTGGTGATTTCTTACATTTTTGTTGCACCCATCACCAGGCAGTGTACACTGTACCCAATGTGTAATCTTTCATCTCTCACCTGCCTCATGCCTCCAAGTCCCCCAAATCCACTGTATCATTCTTATGCCTTTGTGTTTTCATAACCAGCTCTCACTTATAAGTGAGAACATACAATATTTTGTTTCCATTCTGCAGAGACCCAGCTATTATGAATTCGGTTCTTTCAGCTATTTTATTGATGTAATATTCAATCTACCTCACCAGGTTCCATTAATTGTAATTTTAATATGTTTTTCACTTCTAGTAACTCTTCTCAGATTGCTCATTTTCTTTTCTTTTTTTTTTTTTGAGACAGTCTTACTCTGTCCCCCAGGCTGGAGTGCATTGGCGCGATCTCGGCTCACTGCAAGCTCCGCCTCCCGGGTTCACGCCATTCTCCTGCCTCAGCCTCCGAGTAGCTGGGACTACGAAACCCGCCACCTCGCCTGGCTATTTTTTTTGTAGTTTTATTAGAGACGGGGTTTCACTGTGTTAGCCAGGATGGTCTCGATCTTCTGACCTCGTGATCCGCCCGTCTCGGCCTCCCAAAGTGCTGGGATTACAGGCTTGAGCCACCGCGCTGGCCCCATTTTCATTTTGACTGCTGGAGACAGTTTCAGGGGACCTGAGCAATGGCATGGGGCAAATCTACCCTCGAAATAGACCATCCCTGACTTATGGTACAAATGAGATTACAGGCACCTGCCACCACACCCAGCTAATTTTTGTGTGGTTTTTTTTTTTTTTTTTTTTTACGAAGTCTTTCTCTTACCTCCCAGGCTGGAGTGCAATGGCGTAATCTCGGCTCCTGCCTCCGCCTCAGGTTTGATTTAGCATTGAAATTGGAAGAGAAGTTTGATTTTTTTTTTTTAATTGGGAAGGTACTTTGAAATGTTGCTATCTTCTGAGGACTTAACATATTTTTCTGCAGTGGTTCTTAAGTTTAATGCTTAACTTAGTTTTAATAATCTTGTTTTCTTTGCTATTTTTATTATTTTTTTGAGACAGAGTCTTGCTCTGTTACCCAGGCTGGAGTGCAGTGGTACCATCTTGGCTCACTGCAACCTCTGCCTCTGGGGCTCAAAGAAATCTTCTCACCCAAGTCTCCCAAATACTTTGAACCACATGCACATACCACCATAGCTGGCTAATTTTTTGTATTTTTTTGTAGAGATGTAGTTTTGCCATGTTGCCAGACTGGTCTCGAACTCCTGGACTCAAGTCATCCACCTGCCTTGGCCTCCCAAAATGCTGAGATTACAGTCATGAGCCATTGTGCCCAGCCATAATCTTTTCTGTTTAATTCATGTATCCATTTATTTCTATGTATTTACGTGTTTACTTATTTCTCTTCATTTATTTGGCATGAGTTTTCAAAGAAGGCACATTAGACATGTACAAAATAGATATTTGTTGAAAAAGAATGCTACTTTTTGAGGTTTAATTCACGAATAAACACTGCTACTTATGCATATGGCAGTGAATGAGCAGACCGACTCAGCTACTCTTTTATTTTTTATTTCAGTAGGTTTTGGGGAGCAGGTGTTGTTTGGTTACATGGGTAAGTTTTTCAGTGGTGATTTCTTACATTTTTGTTGCACCCATCACCTGAGCAGTGTACACTGTACCCAATGTGTAATCTTTCATCTCTCACCTGCCTCCGCCTTCCCTCAAGTCCCCCAAATCCACTGTATCATTCTTATGCCTTTGTGTTTTCATAGCTTAGCTCTCACTTATAAGTGAGAACATACAATGTTTTGTTTTCCATTCCTGGGAACCAGCTATTATGAATTCGGTTCTTTCAGCTATTTTATTGATGTAATATTCAATCTACCTCTGGGTTCCATTAATTGTAATTTTAATATGTTTTTCACTTCTAGTAACTCTTCTCAGATTGCTCATTTTCTTTTCTTTTTTTTTTTTTTTTTTTTTTGAGACAGAGTCTTACTCTGTCCCCCAGGCTGGAGTGCAGTGGCGAGATCTCAGCTCACTGCAAGCTCCGCCTCCGGAGTTCACGCCATTCTCCTGCCTCAGCCTCCCGAGTAGCTGGGACTACAGGCGCCCACCACGCCCGGCTAGTTTTTGTATTTTTAGTAGAGACGGGGTTTCACCGTGTTAGCCAGGATGGTCTTGACCTCCTGACTTCGTGATCTGCCCGCCTCGGCCTCCCAAAGTGCTGGGATTACAGGCGTGAGCCACCGCGCCAGGCCTCTTTCTTTTTTTTTTTTTTTTTTACAGAGTTTTGTTCTCGTTGCCCAGGCTGAAATGCAGTGGCATGATCTTGGCTCACTGTAACCTCTGCCTCCTGGGTTCAAGCGATCCTTCTGCCTCAGCCTCCTGAGTAGCTCGGATTACAGTCAAGCGCCTCCATTTCGGCTGATTTTGTATTTTTAGTAGAGACCATGTTGCTCCAGGCTGGTCTCAAACTCTCGACCTCGCTGGTCTCAAACTCTCGACCTCAGGTGATCCACCCACCTCAGCCTCTCAAAGTATTAGGATTACAGGTGTGAGCCACTGCACCCAGCCCGATTGCTCTTTTTTCTTGGAAGACCCACTTGTTTTACGGATGCAAGTTTTCAACAAATCTCCCTGAAAATGTAAATTAGATAATTGTTGTTTGTTGTCTTTTTTTGTTGTTGTTATTAGGTTGGTTTGTTTCCACCTGTTTATTTCTTTTCTTTTCTTTTTTTTTGAGACGGAGTTTCACTCTTGTTACCTGGGCTGGAGTGCAGTGGCGTGACGTCGGCTCACTGCAACCTCCACCTCCCGGGTTCAAGCAATTCTCCTGCATCAGCCTCCTGACTAGCTAGGATTACAGGCGCCCACCACCACACCCAGCTAATTTTTTGTGTTTTTAGTAGGGATGGGGTTCCATCATGTTTGCCAGGCTGGTTTCGAACTCCTGACCTCAGGTCATCCACCCACCTCAGCCTCCCAGAGTGCAGGAATTACAGGCCTGAGTCACCATGCTCGGCCTTCCACCTGTTTCTTGCATTAACATTTAATGAGGAGTATTTTTCTCTGAATACACAGAGTATCTCTCCCACTGTCTTGACATATGAAGGGCATTGTTTTTCTAGTTTGTCAATGATTTGTGTAATTAACGTTTAATTGCTTTATTTTAGACAAAGAGACAAAAAAGGAGAAAAATGAGAATTAGACTAAAGTTTATGTTTATTGAAAAATTTCTTTGACCACTTAGAGAGTTAACTGTTTTCATAGGATTGTGATTAAATATGGGGAGACAGTTAAAGTCACTACAGGGAAAGACTCCCATTGGAGGCCTGATTTGATAGTAAAGACAGCTTCTTATTACTGACTGCAAGGTACTCCCCTTGCTATTGTTCTCGATTTCTCTATTTCTGTTTAGGAGGCCGACACTTCTTCCTGGAGCCAATTTATTCACTGTTTGAGAAATTCCATGGTATCCCTTTGCAGAGGTGAAAGATTCCTTTTCCTCACTTATTGCTGGGTTCATGGCACCTATAATAAAACATAGATTAACAAGAGAATAGCATCCAAATTAATTTAATAGAAGTTACCTGAACAAACAGACCTTGTTAAATTCTACTCAGCTTATCACCATTAGATTATACCCTTTTGTTCTCCAATCATACTTCTGCATAACTGTCCATAGAAATATTCAGTTGCCCTGTGTCTTCATTTCAGAAGGCTCTCTTGTCATAAAACATTTATATGCTTTTGTTTTGTTCATCTGTCTTTTGTTGTAGGGGTCTCAGTCATGAACCTTGTGATGGGCAAGGAAAAGATATTACTTTTTCTCCCCTACATTGGACAAGGGGAGTGTGATCTAATAGTAATAAACTGGAGGGAGCTTAGCAAGGCTAATTTGTTCAGATTCTTCTTGGCATCTCTGTGTCTTCAAAGATAAGGATGTTTCTTTCCTCTGGGAAAGGATACTTCTAGAATAAGGGTCTTATGATCTGCTTCAGGGCAGAAAGATGCAGAAAGGTGTGAGAGTGAACTTCCTGATCCTGCTGTTTTCTCAAATGCCAAGAATCCACATTTTGGGGCTGCGTGTCCTGAACCTCATACGTTGCCTTCCAAGCACTGCATTATAGAACTGAAAGACTGATGAGTGTTGAGATTAAGATCCACATTACCACTTTGCAACATGTCTACAAAAACTTAGTAAGACTTTTGTGGCAGCTGAAGTAAGGCGGGAAGCTCATTTACATACTCTCCGTGAGCTCTCTTCCATTTTGATAGGTGTTAGACCGTGAGAACTGCAGAACCCTCATCGTATAACAACTCCTCCCAAATCTTTGCACTAGAGACTTAGCAAACTCTAGCATGCCTTCTAGCAGCTTACGGCAAGGTCCATACAATGACTCAGCTCTACTTAAAATGCCAGCTAAGGAAGCCCAATGCTGCTAGGAGAATTTACTTTTTGTTCCAGTCAAAACTTGGTAACAGATAGGCTCCCGAATTCCTTTTAGAGCAGTTACTTTAGAAATCTTACAGTTAGACCAGGTGCGGTGGCTCACGCCTGTAATCCCAGCACTTTGGGAGGCCAAGGCGGGAGGATCACCTGAGGTCGGGAGTTCAAGAGTAGCCTGATCAACATGGAGAAATACCATCTCTACTAAAAATACAAAATTAGCCAGACGTGTTGGTGCATGTAATCCCAGCTACTCAGGAGGCTGAGGCAGGAGAATCGCTTGAACCCAGGAGGCGGAGGTTGCGGTGAGCCAAGATCATGCCATTTGCACACCAGCCTGGGCAACAACAGCAAAACTTCATCTAAAAAAGAAAAAGAAAAAGAAATCTTACCGTTAAATTCTTTCTCTGCCCTTTGAGAAGCAAATCTACCACACAGAACTGTTTCTTCAAGGACTTGGGAGCTGTTTCTTTGAAATGCAAACATTCAGGGAGATAAATCTTGCTCTTTCTTTCATATGGAGCATAAGGACCAACTTAGCTGGATGCTTCACTTCAACTATATCACCATATCCTTCTGTCATATAGAGAGGTGAAGTTTCTCTCCCCTCTGGATAAGGGCCAATTAACAAATCCAGAGGGTCTAGTGACATTAACCTTCCTTAACACCACTCAGTATCTTTTCCTTAGCACACTCCACTTTAAAATGTCATCGGCTTTACTTTTGGGGAAGTTGAGTTCAGTTCAACAGGAAACAGTGCAGCTGTTTCCTGTTGCAATAGTATTACCGAATAAAACCTGTCCTCATCACATTAACTAGTATCCAGATTTGTTGATCTTTGACAACACACAGATGTCTCCTGCACTCTACGGACTTCAAGGTCTGGTAAATGAGTTGAACACCTCTTCAGTTTCCAGCAATGTTAGGTGTTTTCTATATTTCTTTGATTTGATCATTACTATGGCAACTGGAAGAGAGGAAAAAATAATCAAACATCTGGCATAATATTTCAGTCCCAACACCTTCCATAAGCTGTTCCTTGCAATATAAGTGTATGGAATGATGAAAGAGGCAGTGTAGTGTAACAGAAAAGACCATGAATTTTGCAGCAAGAGTCAGCTTTGATTTGATTCCTTGCTCTAAATTTTTAAAATTAGCTTCTTAAACCTGAGAAAGAGACTAAATTTTGTCTCATTTTTTCGTTTGAAATAGAAATAATAATGCCTACTATATAGACTTGGAAAAGTGAGATTGAACAAGAAAACATGTGCAACATGTGGTTCCTAGCTCATAGTAATTGTTCAATAAATAATTGTTATTTTGTGTTATTAATATCTGATAATTCTCAAAGAGATTTGTTTTCTCTGTCTGTCTGTTGTTACAACAATGCACCTCCTCATGACATCCCTCATTTACCTATCTATATATTTCCTCTATTAGGCAATGTGTTTCTTCTTAGGCATCATTTTTCCTTGTATTCTAAGCTCCCGCCAATTGAAAAGGTGGGTATTCAGTACCTGTTTATGTAATTTAAAAAATACATGAATACATACATGAACAAAGCTACAACAAAGTTATGGTAAACTTAGAGCACCAAAACTGTAATAGTTTGCATAGGTTAAATTAATTAATGTCAGATTTAGTTGTGAGAGTAATGAAGGCAGCATAAGACATTAATTTATGCATTTTTTCTTATATTTGGTCTGAAACAAAGACTTATCTGCTATGCTACCTTTTAGTTTTCCTGAGTCAGCAGTCTCAGAAACAGGATCTAAAGGTATAAATGGAAAATTACCACAGCATAGTTTCATTTCCTGCTCTTGAATATCTGGCTGAACTACTTAAGCTTAATTTGTTAAACCCCAGTAAGTACCTATCCCACATGATTTGACTCAGAGATTCTCTTTCGTCCACAGGCAGTCATCTGAGGAGCAGAAAGAAGAGAGCTCCCAAATGCTATGTCTATTCAGGGCCTCTCAAGAACAATGGAATATCATCCTGATTTGGAAAATTTGGATGAAGATGGATATACTCAATTACACTTCGACTCTCGAAGCAATACCAGGATAGCTGTTGTTTCAGAGAAAGGTATATATATATATATATTTTTTCTAATGTATGCCTTTAGCTCTCCCATTTGAAAAGATCCAAGGGGAGGCTGGGCACAGTGGCTCACCCCTATAATTCCAGCACTTTGGGAGGCCAAGGCGGGTGGATTGACTGAGGTCAGGAGTTTGAGGCTAGCTTGGCTAATGTGGTGAAACCCCGTCTCTACTGAAAACACAAAAATTACCCAGGCATGGTGGCACACACCTGCAGTCCCAGCTACTTGGGAGGTTGAGGCGGGAGAATAATTTGGACTCGGGAAGTGGAGGTTGCAGTGAGCCGAGATCACGCCACTGCACTCCAGCCTGGGTGACAGAGCAAGACTCCATCTCTGAAAAAAATAAAAACAAACAAACAAACAAACAACAAAACAAAACAAAAAGATATAAGGGGAGAAAACTTGAGAGGCTTGTGATGTGTGCATTTTTATGGATATACTTTTAAAGGGCTTCAGATGTCACTGAAGATAATTTGAATGCACCCTAAACTTTTTTTCATGAAAATTATTCAGTGACCAATTATTAGTATTTAAATTAATTATGTCTGATGGCAGAAAATACAATTTCTATTTTATATAGATATAGACATTTCCTCAGTGAGGAATCGGTAATAAGTGGGATAATACACAAAGATAAACGATTTCCGTATGAGTGACTTGTTGCTTGTTTGATAGAAAGGCTAGATTATTGAATGGAGGCCAGGAAACTTAAAGAAGCATATATATGAACAATATGGTTTTTTTGTGGTAAGAGATTAAATTGTTTTTAAACAAAAAACAATTATTGGTATACCAGTGAAGGAAAATGTATTAATATATGGTGGATAAAAACATCCCATCGGCAGGACATGAGTCTTAAACAAAAAGTAAACGAAATGAAATAGAAAGAAGGGCTTTGGAGGATCTCTGTATTCACAGAGTGGGTGATTTCGCCTACTCTATGTGACACTTCTATGAAATGTCCTGACAGCTTAGTCTCAGTGGAAAGCAGAAATACATTCTGGTTATGGCAATGTTAATACAAAATTAGTTCCCTGTTTTCTTTGAGAGAGAGAGAGATCATTTGTTGGTTTTGACACCAGAGTTTGCTTTCTTCTGCTTTCTGATTCTTCACATTGCACAAATATTTTCCTCTCAGTACTGATGTAATTCTTTTCTTGGGCAACCTAGTGAGGAAGGGTGGAAAAAGTGGGTGAGGCAAGAGGTAGGGAGACATGCGCATGTTTATGCATATGTATAGGCAAATGGTATCCTGTAACAACACACCTATAATGTGCTAGCAGTGGCTAAACGAGGTGCTTTTTACGTGTTAGCTCATTTAATTCCCACAATAATCCTTTGAAATATTATTACCCCAGTTTCATAAAGAGGAATAAAAAACAACAAAGGGAGTAATTTGCCCTGGGTCATGCAACAAACATATGAAAAGGGAAAATTACCCTTAGTAATCATTGCTCTCTTCCCAACATTAAGCTATTTCCTCTAAGAATCAGTGGGATTTCAGGGATCCTACTAAAGTCGTGACCTGTAGATATCAATGTGGAGCTGAAATTAGGAGCATACAGATATCAAGGCAATGTGCTGAAATTATAATTGAAGAAGAGGTATTCTTACTAGTGGAGAAAAACACAGCGAATCCTTGATGACTAGGTAACCTAGGCAGTGATTAATAATTCACTTTAAAATTTGCCAGTATTTTTTGTTATTGTTGTTTGTGTTTTGTTTTGTTTTTTTAACAGGGTATCGCTCTGTTGCCCATGCTGCTCTGGAATTCCTGGGCTCAAGCGATCCTCCTACCACAGCCTCCAGAGTAGATGGGACTACAGGAGCTCACCACCATGCTCAGCTAGTTAAATTTTTTTTTTCTTTCTTTTTTTTTTTTTTTTTTTGGTAGGGACAGGGTCTCCCTGTGTTACCCAGGCTGTTCTTGAGCTTCTGGCCTCAAGCAATCCTCCTACCTCTGTCTCCCTTCTGGGATTACAGGTGTGAGCCACTGTGCAAGGCCAGATTTTTGATGAACTGTAGAATTGAAGTGCTCCACCGTCCGTCATTCTCTTTCTTTATTCCATTTCTGCCCCCTCTGGCTCCTCAGGATCTTGTGTTGCATCTCCTCCTTGGCGCCTCATTGCTGTGATTTTGGGAATCCTATGCTTGGTGATACTGGTGATAGCTGTGGTCCTGGGTACCATGGGTGAGTATTTGGTGGAGAAGATCAACAACAACAATAACAACAACAGACAATTTAGTAAGCAATTATTATGTGCCAGGCATTCTTTTAAGGGCTTGACATGCATAATCTACTTTAATTTGTATGTAATCTGGTTTTGTCTGTATTGGGTTGCAGCTGTTAATGCCCATTTCACTTATAAAGGGTGTGAGAGACTGAGAGGTTATTTCACCTTTCCAGGGTTATAAACTAGTTAGTGGTGGGACCATGATTAGAAATTCAGGCGATCTGTCTAAAAAACTCATACTCTTAACTACATTGCTCTCATACCTCCCTTGCATAGCTGGTTTCAAAGCTGTAGAATCCAAAGGATAATAAGTTAATGGAAGGAAACACATGGAGCTGAAGAAGAAAGTACAATATAGTGCTGTCTTCCTAATGAAATAAATTCACTAAATGGACATTAAGCTGTTTTTATGAGTCACATTATTTAGGGAACTTATTTCTGATCTTTAATATAAACACCTTTGAATAGACCAGAAATTTCCTGAGGCACTTGGTCTTAAGTCGGTATTTTGTAATGGATGAATTTTTTTTTTAGATTTTATATCACATGCAATCTGTTGTTAAGCACCTTCAGAGAGTCTTCATGACATTCCTTAATTAGTCAGATGCACTTAGTCAAGTGCATTCTATGTTATGTTATAGGTACCGGGCAGTTTCTCAAGGATATCTCATTTTTAAGTAATAGAAGAAAGGTGAAAGATGTTGCTATTTCAAATCTGCCATGGGTCCAGTTGACTCTATGACATTTGCCTCTTGCTGCCTCCCTCGTTCTATTTCTTCTTCTCTACATTCTTTTTTCTTTTTAACTATACCTCCGTTATGAAAGTTATTTATTTCTTTTCATCTATTTTATCAATCATCTTTACTTCTCCACAGCAATATATCATCTATTTATCATTAATCAATAATGTATTCTTTTATTCCAATAACATATGGGTTTCGGGATTTTCATTTTCAAACACAAAAGAATGACTTTTTTTCTGTCACTGTTATTGTTGGGATATGAAGCTATTTGGAGACCCAATTCAGGAAGAAACTCATTGGAGAATGGCTACTTTCCATCAAGAAATAAAGAGAACCACAGTCAACCCACACAATCACCTTTAGAAGAGAGTGTGACTCCTACCAAAGCTGTCAAAACCACAGGCAAGGGCATAAAGGATGGAATCTTGATTCAAGAGGGTTAATTGTTGGTGCTGAGGCCTGGGGCAGGGGTGTAAGGAAAATATGCTTAGATTCAATGATTGTACATTTAAGGCAAGCACACATATTAGTATTAACTTAGTGTAATATATCCCTGTCATATATACACAAAGATGAAATTATAAGTACTCTATGCACTTGGCTGAACAGTTCTAAATTGGACTTTATTAATTTTTAAAATCAGTAACCAATTTATCACTGGCTATGTGCTTAGATCTAGAGGAGATCATATAATTTAATACAAATAAAAGAAAAGTGTTCTCTCCCCTTACAGAATTGACATTTTTAATGCGATACAGTTAGAATAGAAAATATGACATTAGAAAGGAAGAATGACAGGGAGAAAGGAAAGAATGGAAAATGTTGCCAAGAATAAAGAAGCTATATTAAAAATATACAAAAGAGGTGGACCTAATACACATGTTCCTGAAAACTCATCAAATTTCCTTAATCATACAATTTCATTTACTTAATTACAATTCTATATATACTTGATCTTTACTTCTAATTGCATCATAATTGACTATGACTTAATGTTTTCACTTCAGTTTTTCATCTCTGGACCCACACCTCCTCACTATTTTTATTAAGTAGCTAATAACATATAAGAGAGATAGTGTGTAATATGAATAACTGACCTATACTTTTTTCATTTGGAAAGTCACATTCTGAAATAGATCTTACATCATAAAATAAGTTAAGTAACAATATGAAATTGCTGTGTACCTCAATGATTGATTGTGAGTGGAATTATTTTAAGGAGTTATTAAGGAGAAAGGTAGTTTTGAGCTAAATTAGAAGGAATAGAAGACAAAATCAAGAAAAAAAGGATGGTTGGCTGCCTAAAATACTATTTATAGCTAATTCATTTTTAAATTCTAAATGAATAGGAAGATTTGAATGTATTCTCATCTGTAAAATCATATCACTGTAGTTTGAATTGAAAATGAAATATAATAATGGCAACTCATTGGTTATTTCATAAGTGTCCTTAAGATGAATGGTGTTCATACTAAAAGAGTGAATTGGTGTGCTATGAACCTCATGGTACTAATCTTTTATTTCCAGGGGTTCTTTCCAGCCCTTGTCCTCCTAATTGGATTATATATGAGAAGAGCTGTTACCTATTCAGCCCGTCACTAAATTCCTGGGATGGAAGTAAAAGACAATGCTCACAACTGGGCTCTAATCTCATAAAGATAGACAGCTCAAAGGAATTGGTAAGTGTAAACTTCTGTTGTAATTATCTGTGGTCTGTATCCAGAAGGAAAATAGAGGGAGATTCCAGGTAATGACAATATTTCCTAAAATGAAGTCTTTTTTTTTTTTTTTTTTTTTTTGAGGCAGAGTCTTACTCTGTTGCCCAAGTTGGAGTGCAATGAAGCCTCAACATCCCAGGCTCAAGGGATCCTCCCACCTCAGCCTCCTGACTAGTTAGGACTAGATGGGGCACCACTATGCTCATCTAATTTTTTTTTTTGTATTTTTCGTAGAGATGGAGTTTCTCCATATTGTCTAGGCTCGTGTCAAACTCCTGGGCACAAGCAATCTGCCCATCTTGATCTCCCAAATTGTTGGGATTACAGGTGGAGGCCACCACACTCGGCCAAAAGTCATTTTTAATATCTCTATAGTTATAATCACAGCATGCCTTAAGCACATAAAGTGCATAATATATACTTTTATTTTTATTTTAACTAATTTTATTTATTTATTTTTAACTAATTAAAAAAAAAAAACAACTGTGTTTCACCTTAAAACAAATCCTTTCAAACACACTCCATGTATGCGTGACTGCAATAATCAGGCCATTACCCGTTTTTGTGCGTTTGTATTTCAATTGTTACATTTGGTGGAGTAAAGTAGAAAATTCTCCTCCTTGTCATCATAATTATCAAGAAAATGGCAACAATGATAATATATGTTTAGAAATTATTTACTCTTTGCAAGATACTGGGAAAGGCAAAGAGGGTTAAAAAATAACCCTGCTATCACAGGACACATATAATCTTCTAAGTAAAAAAAAAGCAACTCAGCAGCTATTAAAAGTTAAATATCTGGCATGGGCAATAAATGCTATCGGAGTTTAAAGAGATCCCCGTGTTCCTAAGAAGTTTTCAGAAAAAGTGGCACTTGAATGAAGGGTAGAGCTTAGATGAGGTACGAGAAGGGGTTTATAGGAAACATTCTACATTATAAATCTAAACCAGTCTGTAACTTCTACATCTACTTTCACTATTCTCATTTTGTTTTTGTTTCTCTAATGTCTTACCCAGTAGTAATAATTTATATTAAAATTAATGGAACTACATGTATGGCAAAGAAAGAGTATTGGGTTACAACTCTATCTGACTTTTAGGCCAGCCTATAATTGAAAATAAATTGTTATAGATTTGTAAACAATTCAGATATCTTCGCTGAATCTCAGATTACTTATTCATAAAATATGCTGTTGGACTAAATCATTTTTAAGTTGTTACCTAACTCTGAGAAGTATTTCTTTTTTTTTTTTTTTTGAGACGGAGTCTCGCTCTGTCGCCCGGGCTGGAGTGCAGTGGCCGGATCTCAGCTCACTGCAAGCTCCTCCTCTCGGGTTCACGCCATTCTCCTGCCTCAGCCTCCCGAGTAGCTGGGACTACAGGCACCCGCCACTTCACCCGGCTAGTTTTTTGTATTTTTTAGTAGAGACGGGGTTTCACCGTGTTAGCCAGGATGGTCTCGATCTCCTGACCTCGTGATCCGCCCGTCTCGGCCTCCCAAAGTGCTGGGATTACAGGCTTGAGCCACCGCGCCCGGCCTGAGAAATATTTCTTAACAAAAGTAGCGTCAATTTATTTCTTCAATTGGAGGAGAAGACAGTGGCTAATCATCCATGAAAACTGCCTAGGGGGCCTGTCATCTGGGATTTTGTCAGATAGGTTGAACGGAGGCAGTACAATCTTCACATTATAGATCTATTCTTTTGGAAAATTAAATGATAATTACTTTAAATAAATAAGATAGGCCTTTTGAGACATTCAGTGACAGGTTGATGTCAGGTTAGGCATGCATTCTTTACCTAAGTGATTCGATCAGCTGTCTTTTTCTCAGTGTCCATGATAATGGTCTCTCTCTCTCTCTCTCTCTTTGTTATATATTTGTATATGTTTTGTTACAGGGATTTATAGTAAAACAAGTGTCTTCCCAACCTGATAATTCATTTTGGATAGGCCTTTCTCGGCCCCAGACTGAGGTACCATGGCTCTGGGAAGATGGATCAACATTCCCTTCTAACCTGTAAGTGTTTGGACAGACAATGCTTCATCCTCTTTCTCAGAGAGGTTTCCACCTCATCTATGAAAACCTCTGTCAAGCAGCTAAGAACCTGACTTGCTGACCATATATGAGAAAGAGAGAGAGAAAGATACAGAAGAAGAGAAATAGTGAGCTACAACAAAAGGAGAAAGATGAGGAGAACCTTAGAGTGAAAAGGAGCGAGGCCATCTAGCAGCATCAACACAGCTGTTCTTCTAGTTTTCTTACCAGGGAGGCAACCAACATGTTTGAAGTTGTCCAGGCAAGGAGCAGTCACTGTCAGTCAGTGTAAACCCCTGGTTAAGAACATGGGCTTTGAAGCCAGACCTCAGTTTGAACAGAACAGAAAGTTACTCTTGGCCGGGTGCGGTGGCTCACACCTGTAATCCCAGCACTTTGGGAGGCCCAGGTGGGTGGATCACTTGAGGTCAGGAGTTTGAGACCAGCCTGACCAACATGGTGAAACCCCATCTTCACTAAAAAATGAGCCGGTGTGGTGGCATTTGCCAGAAATCCCAGGTACTCGGGAGGCTGAGGCAGGAGAAATGCTTGGACCTGGGAGATGGAGGTTGCAGTGAGCTGAGATTGCACCATTGCACTCCAGCCTGGATGACAGAGTGAGACTCCAGTGAGACTCCAACTCAAAAAAAAGAAAGGAAGGAAGGAAGGAAGGAAGGAAGGAAGGAAGGAAGGAAGGAAGGAAGGAAGGAAGGAAGGAAGGAAGGAAGGGTACTTTCCTCTTAGAATTGTGAGATGGGTATAAAAGTAAAATAATTTAGAACAGTGTCTTGTACATAGTTAATGAGCGATATTATTAAGTTAAAAAGCAACCACATTTTCACATTTTGCATTTTAAAAAGATATTTTAAACGTATTTCACATTTGCACGATTATACATTATTCCTTATTATGTGTTGGTCTTTGTCACTGCAGTTGTCATTCATTTGCTTTTTAATGTGGGGAAAAGAAAGAGATCAGCCTGTTACTGTGTCTATATAGAAAGAAGTAGACATAAGAGACTCCATTTTGTTCTGTATTTGAGATGCTGTTAATCTGTGACCCTACTCCCAACCTTGTCCTTGCAAGAGACATGTGCTGTGGTAACTCAAGGTTTAATGGATTTTGGGCGTGCAGGGTGTGTCTTTGTTCCTAGAAAAGCTAGGTATTGTCCAAGGTTTATCTCCATGTGATAGGATGAAACAATGCCGCTAAAAGGTTTATCTCAAGGCACAGGATTTTCCTTTAAACTTATTCATGTCACAGAGATCCTTGTTCTTATGTCTTACTGCTGATTTCCTCCCTAAAAACGATCCTATTGTCCTGCCACTCCCTTATCTTTAAGATTATCTATAAATGCTAAGGAAACTCAGAGACAGGTGCCGGCGTGGGTCCTCTGTAAGCTGAGCGCTGGTCCCCTGGGCCCCCGCTTTTCTTTCTCTATACTTTGTCTCTGTGTCTTATTTCTTTTCTCAAGTCTCTCGTTCCGCCTTACGAGAAACACCCACAGGTGTGGAGGGGCAGGCTGCCCCTTCATTTAATATCTGCAGAATATGAAATCTGTCCCTTTTAAGTTCTTATTATTAGTGTGTGTGTGTGCACACACCTGTGTGTGTTTTTTCATCTCAGTAGGAGTACGGTTCGATTTAGTTTTTCAAAGAAAATAACTTTTGACTTTGTTGACTCTGCCTCTTTTTATTATTTCTTTCATTAACTTTGATTCTAGTCTGTATTACTTCCTTCCATCTAATTTATTTTTATTTTATTTTATTTTATCTTTTTGAGACGGAGTCTTGCTCTATTGCCCAGGCTGGAGTGCAGTGGCGATCCTGGCTCACTGCCAGCTCTGCCTCCCGGATTCACGCCATTCTCCTGCCTCAGCCTCCCAAGTAGCTGGGACTACAGGCTCCCACCACCACGCCTGGCTAATTTTTTGTATTTTTAGTAGAGACGGGGTTTCACTGTGCTAGCCAGGATGGTCTCAATCTCCTAACCTAATTTATTTGTTTTATATTTGCTATTCCATCTCAAACTTCTTGTATTGGGTGCTTGACTCATGAATTTAAGCCTTTCTTTATCTCAAGTATGTAGATTTAAAGGCTATAATTTTAATGTATTTTCATTGTCATTCAGTTCAAAATACTTTCTGATTTCCACTGTGAGTTGCTCTTTGACCCAGGAGTTATTTAGAAATGTATTTCTTAATTTACAAACTTATGTGTTTCTAGTTATCTCTTTGTTTTGGGTTTCAGGCTTAGTTCCACTGTGATCAGAGACCATGCTCCACGTGCTTGTAGTTCTGTGATTTTTACGTGCTTCTTCCTCTTTCCATATGAAAAGAATTGTGTTGAAATCTGCTGCGATTCTACTTATAGTTCTGTAAACATTTGATTCGATGTGTTGAAGCCGTGTTATCAGGCACATAAAGATGTAGAATTGTTACTTTTTTCCCTTTCTTTCCTCCTTTTTGGACTGATTTAACACCTTTTCTTATTTTTTTCTTTTCATTTGTAATGTGCTCTTTCATGTCTTTTACATCTCTTTTACTAATCTTTTAGTAGTTTTCCTAGGAATTACACATGTATACTTCACTCATCAAAGACTAATATTAACTGACATTTTTATGTTCTTCCTGACCAATATAAAAATCATAGAGCATTCCTTTACTCTGTTGACTCAATTTATATGCTATTATATTAATGTATTTATTTTTATTTATTTATTTTTATTTTATCTCCCAGGCTGGAGTGCAGTGGCGCAATCCTGGCTCACCGCAACCTCTGCCTCCTGGGTTCAAGCGATTCTCCCATTTCAGCCTCCAGAGTAGCTGGGACTACAGCCACGCCTCCAGCTAGGTGTGGTGGCCTGCGCCTGTAATCCCAGCTACTCAGAGATTGAGGCACCAGAATTGCTTCAACCCGGGAGGTTGTAGTGAACTGAGATTGCGCCACAGCACTCCAGCCTGGGTGACTGAGGCAGACTCAGTCTAAAACAAACAGACAAAAATAGCCCTTGGGCCGGGCACAGTGATTCACGTCTATAATCCCAGAACTCTGGGAGGCCGAGGTGGGCGGATCACTTGAGGTCAGGAGTTCGATACCAGCTTGACCAAGATGGTTAGCATCCATACAAACAAATAAACAAGTAAAATAAAAAAAACCACAAAAATTAGAAATGGCGGTGCACAGCAGATTTATGCAGTTAGTATTCATTTCAATTTGTCCACATATTTATGATTTTACTTGTTTATTTCTTTCTTCCTTTCCAACTGCACATTTCAGGTATTTTTTCTTATGGCTGATATTTCCAATAAGTATAGGATTAGAGGTTGGTTGTTTTTCCTCTCAGCCACTCAAATATATTATTCCACTGTTTTCTATTTTTTATTGTTGTTTTTGAGAGGTCTGTTTGAAGGTAATACATGTTACTGAAAAATTCTCAACCATACTTGCTTCGTATTTTGCTTTGAACCATCTTTTTTCCCTTCTCCTGGAATCTCAGTTACATTCATTACAGACCCGTTGACACCATCCTATATGTTTCTTTTGCTTTTTCCTGTGTTTTCATTCTTTTTTAGCTTTTTGCTCCAATCTATGCAATTACCTTTCACATATCTTCCAGTTCATCTATTTTTTCTCATCTGTGGCTAATCTACTGTTAAATGCCTCTATTAAGTTTTTTACTTTGTTTGGTGACATTTTCAGTTTTATAATTTTAGTTCGGTTCTTTCTCAAATCTATTATTTCAACACTTATACTTCTATTTTTTCTTCTAACATTCTTGGTGTTATCTTTTAACTTTCAGAATACACTAACCATAGTTGTTTTAGCTTGTGTCTAATAATTCCAATTTCCTATATGTATCTGTTTCTGTTTTTTTTCCTATTTTTGTTTTGTGTTGATTAGTTTTCTTTTATGTCAGATTGCTTTTTATAGGGTTGTTAACATTGTATCTTAAAATCTTTGCAGAATTAATTTGAAGTGTTTTTTCATTTGCCTCTATTCTCACCACCGGGTCTGTTCACCCAATAGTGTGAACAGTACAAACCGCTGAGTATAATCACTTAACTGTTTTACTTCTACTAGGCTATGTACAGTGAATTTATTAACAATCAGCCAAATGTATTTTCTACTTTTTTATAGCACTTGTTTGTCTTGATTTTTCTTTTGCCATTTTAAATGTATGGCTAGAGGACTCTTTCTGTAATCACAAGCAGGCCCAAGTTAACATTTTGATATGTTTATGTTACTAGTCTTTGATTTTCTGGGTGGCATTTATTTAATCTAGCTGTGTCTATGCCCCCAAAACACTTAGAGATCAAGGAAAATTTTGAAGGAATGATGCTGGTCAGAGTTCTCCCTGAGGTCTGAATCTAAGTAGTTAATCTTAGCCTTAGTCATCTCTAAGGCAAAGTTTTCTCAATCTTCCAACCTCAGGGTCAAGAAGGAGAGATAGATACCCAGGACGAAGCGTGCCAAGTCATAGCTTTTGCACTGAGGCTCAGTGATGCTCTTTGAGCTTGACTAATTAACACTGCTGCTTCAGGAGACTGAAGACCAAATTGAACAGGACCATACTTCCATTTACCAGTGTTGATTTCCATAACTGTCAAGCATTGTATTGTAATGTAATTCTCCTTCCAGGATACATTAAAATATGCAGAGTTGTTTGCGCTGCCTTTAAATGGCCTGGGCATCTCTGATTCTTTTTTTAGTTCTAGAACCCTTTCAGCATTAATGCTTCTGCTTGGTCTATTCATTAAGTACATCCAGCAATAATTTCATTAAACTGTTGCTTGATTTGATAAAGAAACATTTAAGTAATAGGCTGAAAGATATATAACGAACTTTTTATAGAATATTAAATAATTTTCCTTCTTTGTCAGGAACTTTTTTTTAAGTTTAAGCAGCTAGTAGTATTTCTTGAAAAAAATTAAGTTATTTTCCTGCCTTAATAGTGGACACTATTCATTTAACCACTTGAGATTCACAACAATTTAGATTTAAGCCTCCTTTTCCAATAATAGAAACACTTCAGAAATCTTTTCACCGATATCCTTACTAATTTATTTGAGCGTCCTGTAGACGGTATTCCTTAACATTTGTTCTAATTACCTCACTGTATTCTATTTTAACAGATTTCAGATCAGAACCACAGCTACCCAAGAAAACCCATCTCCAAATTGTGTATGGATTCATGTGTCAGTCATTTATGACCAACTGTGTAGTCTGCCTTCATATAGTATTTGTGAGAAGAAGTTTTCAATGTAAGGGGAAGGGTGGAGGAGGAGAGAGAAATATGTGAGCTAGTAAGGAGGACAGAAAAAGGAACAGAGAAGAGTAGCAGCTGAGGTCAAAATAAATGCAGAAAATATTTAGCGAGCTTGGCAAACTGTAATCTTAACCAAGAAATTGAAGGGAGAGGCTGTGATTTCTGTATTTGTTGACCTACAAGTAGGCCAGTGTTATTGTTCTACTTACTAAATCCCTGGACATGGAATCAGGGCAGCTAAGCTTGAATTTTTTTTTTTTTTTTTTTTTTTGAGATAGGGTCTCACGTTGTCACCCAGGCTGGAGTGCGGTGGCACAATCTTGGCTCACTGCAGCCATCTCTTGCCTCAGCCCCCCCAAGTAGCTGGGACTACAGGTGCATGCCACTGTGCCAGGCTAATTTTTGGTGTGTTTTTGTAGAGACTGGATTTTGCCATGTTGACCAAGCTGAAGCTGGTCTTGAACTCCTGGGCTCAAGTGATCTGTCCACCTTGGCCTTCTAAAGTGCTGGGATTACAGACGTAAGCCACCACACCCGGCACCAAGCTTGAATTTTCATTCTGCCATTGACTTGGCATTTACCTGGGGTAAACCATAAGCAAGTCTTAATTTCTGGCTCCATCAGAGTTGTTTTTGTGCTTAACAATGCCATTGATGCATATGGTGTGTTGCCATGATTTGACCCTCAACTTCTAGCAGTATATCAGATATGAACAGAAGGTGAAATATATTTCTGAATAGTTAAATGAAAAAATGGGTAAAAATCTTCACCACAATCAGAGCGATTTTATTATTTTCATCGATCTGATCATAATTATGATTATCATCTTTAAAAAGCAGGAACTCTTACTTTTTCTTTATCAATTAAATAACCCAGAGAGTACGTCTGCCGTATCTCTAATAGAATCTTGTATAATATGTAATTGTAGGGAAACTGCTGTCATAGGAAAGTTTTCTGCTTTTTAAATACAAAAATACATAGAAATACATAAAATCTGATGATGAATATAAAAAAGTAACCAATCTCATTGGAACAAGTGTTAACATTTTGGAATATGAAACATGTTTTATTAGTTTTGTGATGTACTGTTTTATAATTTTGACTTTTTTCATTAATTACTATAAAATGGTATTATTGGAATGAAACTATATTTCCTCATGTGCTGATCTGTCTTTTTTTTTTCATACTTTCCCACTGGTGCTATTTTTATTTCCAATGGATATTTCTATATTACTGGTGAGGCATTTACAGTCCTCTAATGTTGATTAATATGTGAAAAGAAATTGTACCAATGTCACTAAATTATTCACTTTAAAATGGCTGTTTTTATGTTATGTGCATTTCATTTCAATAAAAAAAAACTCTTATCAAAAAACCCCTGGCCTCTAAATTATGTGCCTGTGTGTCACAATCACTATCACAATTTGCCCTTTCCCCAAAAATGATGATGAATTTGGTATGGCTGGAGTGGATATTTACAGTAGATATTTTGATATTAAAGCATTAATTCGAGATCTTAAAAATTTAAAAAACCTAAGATAAAGATTTTTGTGAGGTTTACTATTGTTGTTTAATATGCAAATTTATGTTTTCATTATTTAAAAAAATGTAGAAAGGGAAGAGATAGACAGATGCAGCAAACCACCATGGCACATGTATACCTATGTAACAAACCTGCACGTTCTGCACATGTATCCCAGAACTTAAAGTACAATTAAAAATAAATACATAAATAAATAAATGATGTAATATATAATAAACATAAAAGAAAAGGAGGAGATAGATCAGGCTGAGAACATGAGTATGGTTAAGTGTTTTAAGTAGTTAAGGCTTAGGATGGAGTTTGGAAGAGATACCTAGTATTTTAATTTTGGTTTTTTTGTGATTCATTCCTCCCGGGTCCTCAGGATATAGTGGATGAGTCAAGAAATTATGGTAATCAAGGTAAATAACTGGATACTGAAGATCCAGCTGTACTAATCTAGGACGGGACAGGCAACCTAACCCATGACGTGGGTTATCATGAAAGTGAGGGTGTAAAGTAAAATTGCTCTAGGTTGTGCAAGACATAGAGTACCTGACGTGTTGAGATATGTTTATATCACAGCTTATATGGAAATATATGTGAATAAACAGAAAACATACACACTTTTCCAAGAGACAGAAAAGGTGAAATAGCTGCTAGCTGAACCTCAGTTGAAAAGTTAAATTCGAGATGAGTAATGATCACACCAGGAGACATGCTGAGGGGCCACCATGTTCATATGTCTGGATTACAGCAATAATTTTTGAAGTAGTATCTGAGCCTTCACCCTTGTCCTCTACAGTCTATTTTCAAACAAATCAGAGTGAGGCTATTACATTTAAATAAAATCATGTCGGTTCTCTACTGAAAATTCTCATCAACTTCTCATGTATCTAAGAGTAAAAACAAAACAACTCAAAAATGAAATACCTTTGTAATTATAAGAAGCTACATATTCTGGTCTTCTTAACTTTGAGCTAAACTCCTACTTCCTTTATCTTTACTCATCGCACTCAGGACGCTGGCTTCTCTGTTGTTTCTCAAGCATGTCAGGCGTGCTTCCACCTCAAGGTACTGGTGATTCTTATCTCCTTTACCTGAATGATTCTTACCTGACAAAGCTGCAGGACCTGGTCTCTCACCTCTTTCCCATCTCTGCACAAACATGAGCTTCTTAATGATGCTTACTCAGATAACTCTAAAGTTACCAACCCTTTCTCCCTACATACTTCATCTCCCTTACCTCTGTTTATTTACCATAGCATTTATTATAGTCTAATATACTGTACTATTTACTTATTAGTTTGGTGCAAAATTGTGGTTTTTGCCATTGGAAGTAATGGCAAAAACCGCAATTACTTTTACACCAGACTGATACTTATTATCTTTCTTATATATCATCTGTTTTTCCCCATAGAATATAGTCTCTAAAAGGACTGACAGCTTTGCTGTACATGGATGTATACAAGAGTCTGAGAATAGTACTTGCCATATAGTCGATAGTCAAAAACATCCTTATTTTTGAAAAAAAAAACTTTTAAGGAAAAGTAGTATAAATGTTAATTTGGGTTGATTATCAAAAATTATTAGTAATATACTTGAATAACCAAAGCTTGGGAAATAGTTCTAATTGCTATTTTATGAGAATCATAATTACAGGAACCTCCTAAGTGCCTTTTTTTCTGATCCCAGCTGTTGTAATTTTTAACCCTCTATCTGTTTTATTCACATATGGGCTTTACATAACTTCATCTTCACAATTTTGACTACCTTCTCTTTTATATGGCTCTCTGATATCCAACCCAATGCAAACAAACAAATAATTTTTGATTTCCTACTTCTTACAAGGCACTGTGCAACAGGAAGATATTTTTATTTTTATTTATGTATTTTTTATTTCAACAGCTTTCGGGGTACAAGAGGTTTTTGGTTACATGGATGAATTATATAGTTGTGAATTCTGTTTGTAATGCACCTGTCAGTCACCTGAGTAGTGTACATTGTACCCAATATGTAGTTTTCAAAATCCCTCCCCCTCCCTTTTCACCTCCTGCTTCTGAGTCATATCACTGTATAGATTTGCCTACTCATAGCTTAACTTCCACTTGCAAGTCAGAACATACAGTTTTTGGTTTTCCACTCCTGACTTACTTAGAATAATGGCCTCCAGCTCTAACCAAGGTACTGCAAAAGACATTATTTCATTACTTTTTATGGTTGAGTGGTATTCCATGGTGTATATACACCACATTTTCTTTATCCAGTCATTGGTTAATAGGCACTTAGGTTGGTCCCCTATCTTTGCAATTGTGAATTCGGTTGCCATAATCATACACGTGCAAGTGTCTTTTTCGTATACAATGACTTATTTGGGGGTAGATACCCAGTAGCAGGATTGCTGGATTGAATGGTGTATCTACTTTTATTTCTTTAAGGAATCTTCACACTGCTTTCCATGGACGTTGCACATGGGACATTTACATTCCCACCAGCAGTGTATAAGCATTTGCTTTTCACCATATCCATGCCAACATCTATTTTTTTTTTGACTTTTTAATAACAACCATTATTGTAGGAGTAAGATGGTATCTCACTGTGGTTTTAATTTGTATTTCCCTGATAATTAGTAATGTTGAGCATTGTTTCATGTTTGTGTATCTTCTTTTGAGAAATGTCTTATGTATGTCCCTTGCTCACTTTTTGATGGGATTTTTTTTTTTTCTTGCTGATTTGTTTGAGATCCTAGTAGATTCTGGATATTAGTCCTTTGTTGAATGCATAGTTTGCAAATATTTTGTCTCATTCTGTGGGTTGTCTACTCTGATTATTTATTTTGCTGTGCAGAAGCTTTTTAGTTTCATGAGGTCCCATTTATTTATTTTCATTTTTGTTGCATTTGCATTTGGAGTATTAGTTATAAATTTTTGCATAGGCTAATGTCCAGAAGAGTTTTTCTAACGTAATCTTCTGTGATTTTTATGGTTTCAGTTCTTAGATTTAAGTCTTTGATCCATCTAGAGTTGATTTTTGTATAACGCAAGAGATTGGGATCCAGTTTCATTCTTCTACATGTGGCTTGCCAGTCTTTTCAGCACCATTTATTAAATAGGTTTATGTTTTTGCATGCTTCAACAAAGATCAGTTGGATGTTAAGTATTTGGCTTTCTTTTTTACGGCAGGGAGTTAACGTTTTATTTTAAATGCTTGCATAGCTTCAATACCCAGGTTGTGGCAAAATCAAGACACGTGTAAAATATGCTACATTAGATTCCCCAAAGGTACTAAAAAGTACAGTAAAATTAACCCTTCCATTACAGGAAAAGTATGACACAAATAATATAAAATGAAAAGGTGACGCTGGTTTCCTGAGATGCAATTTACTCTTTATAAACAGGGTCCACAGGTCCAGGCTGCAGCCTGCGGCAACAGGAAGCAAAGACTGCCATTTTGTTCTGGACGACCTGGTACTGAAAATCAGCCGGTAATGCCCCTCTGGCCTCTCAGACACCATACACTGCCTAAATAACTAGAGCTCTGGAAATAGTAAACAAGAAAGTGATTTCCATGGGGGAAATTTTAAATAACATGCACATGGGACAAGCCATAGAAAGTCTGTCAAGTTAAATTTGGTACATAATTGTGTTCACTCCATATCCAAACACAGCATGCGTGTGATCGGTTGGTCTCTTCTGCTGCTGCCTCAGTATGGCTTGTAGGTATTCTGAGGGCCACCGTGTCGCTGCCTCTTGCTGTAGTTTGTACTACCCTGGCCTCCACCTCCACCACCACCTCCACCACCACCACCACCACCTCCACCACCACCACCTCCACCACCTCCACCACCTCCACCACCACCTCCACCACCTCCACCACCACCTCCACCACCACCTCCACCACCACCTCCACCACCACCTCCACCACCACCTCCGCTGCCTCGTTCCCTCGGTTGTGGTTTCCACAGCCCCCAGAACCATACCGCTGCTGCCAGTAAATTTCTTTCGGCTGGGCCACCTTGATCTTACACTTGCTTCCACTGATAGTATGGAAACTTTTCTCCAGAACCTTCTTCACAGGTTTTTTTTTTTTTTTTTTTTTTTTTTAAAGGTAATAAACACAAAACCTTATCTTTTGTTCAACTTTGGATCCATTGGAATTTCAATGGCCTCAATCTCCCCAAACTCGCCAAAGTACTCCCTGATCTTTTCCTCAGTGACTTCAGGATTCAGACCCTC